TCTAGTTGAAATAATTAAAAATGAAATCAGGCCTATATTAACCTTTAATTTTTAGTTATAGAGGAATATTTTAGTCTTTTAACAACATCCAGAAATTCCTAATTACGCTTTTTGACCTTATTAGAATATTAGGGATTTGCTAAAAAAGGTAGGTTTGAATTAGAATTTTGGTATTTCAATGAAATTTAATTGGGATTCTCCCTATAAAAAATAATAAAATAATGCTAAAATTTGATAAAATTACATAACTTTTATTTTCAGTTAAAGTCAGTGATGATTTTAAAATTAAAATTTTAATTTTTTTATAAAGAAAATAAAACTTTAATTTTTAGTTTAGTGAGATTTATTAATTCGCATTAATTTTAAAAATAAAACGGAGGAAGAAATATAGGGGAAAATATGGGAGGTTTGGAAGGAACAATATTAAACTTAAAATTTGTATTTGAAAATTTGGTGTTTTGGAATAATTATATTTTGAGAAAACCATATTGGAGGTATTTATACTTTTTTTCAATTTTCAATTTGGTACCTATATGTTTTTGTTCTTAACTAAATCTTTAATTTTGCTCTATTAACATCATTAATCCTTATGTAAAGACTAAAAACATCAATAGAACAAAGTTATAAGAGCTAATGTTGCTAAAAAGATAAAATTAAATGTTTAATTTTAGAGGAAAAAACATATAGGTACCAAATTAAAAATTGAGAGAAAGTATAGGTACCTTCAATATGGTTTTCCCTTATTATTATTATAAAGTTAATAATAGAAAATGGTAGTAATACATAAAGTATTAGAGATAACTGATACACTAAGATATGAGAAAGCCTTTTTTCCCCGAAACCCTCCTCAAAGGGGGTGTTTGGTAAAACCAAAATCACGGTTTCAGAATCACTTTTCCGCAAAAAAAGGTAACCTCCTCCACATATTTACTTCGTAATCCGTAAAAGCACTTCTGAAACCATGGTTTGGTTTCTATCCAAACACCCCAAAGTATCAATACACGTCTGGCATAATTAAATTTACTAATTTTAGAAATATCAGTTCCGCATGTGCTTATATTTGGCGAACCCCATAATCATTTTTAAAAAAAATATATGCTTTACCGTACAATTTTTCTTATACAAAATTACTCAAATAATTTACTCGAGAGATAAAAATGTACACATGCAGGGATTTGTATTCCCATCTCTTCCAACTTACGTCAAATACTCCATCGAATAATCTGCCTTCATATATTCTATGCAATCTGACTAAATTACTTCTCTTGTTCTTATTAAAAAAAAAATGGTAAGTATGATTAAAAATATATATTTTAGGAGATTACGGGAACATAATTATTTATAATTGATCATGTTATAAAAAGTCATAGTATGCGTAGGTTATTAAGCCTGAAAGGGGCAAGTGTATCCAGCTTTTACATGCAATCTTTCTTATGATAATGCAAATATATTGAGTGAAATTCGAAAGTTAACCCGAAGATTAAATACCCAATCATCAATGAGTTTAATTCCACATTAATCATATCCTTTTCTATCAATAATTTTTAAACCATTTTCTGATGGTGCATTTTTATGCGGCAGCGACCTTGCTCGGGAAAATTAAATTTTATTTTATCAATCTCATTTTTCTTACAATTATCTACATAAGATTTTTTGATTCAAGAAATTAAAGAGCATCGTTGATTATTTCTTTTCTTTTTTCTTTTTGGTTACGAAACTCCTTCAATATTAAATTCAATTTCCATCGGTTGAAATAGTGTTAGTGTTTTGGTATTTGGAAACAAAACAACGCAACAAAACTCGAAGAAAACTAAAACAATACCTAGGAGCAAGAGTTCAAGTTTGAACTGCCCTCCATCATGCGGCTCTCCATCACTCCATGGCTAGGAAGGAGTGTCCTTTCCTTCTCCTTCTGCTCGGTTTTGACAAACCAGACGGTTTCTTACTTCTGCGGAACACGACGAGGTCCCGAAACTCAGAGAGGTCTCAGGTTGGCCCCAGTGATCTTCGGACGCCATCTTTTGCCCGGAGAAACAGGTGAAAACAGGGTGGTTTCATACCCGCCCTTCCATGTTGTGCTCGGCCTCCTTGCCGCTGGCTCCAGCGTTTCCGCCCGCCGTCAGCTTCTCGCCTTTGTCGACTCCCATCTCGTCGACCGCCTTAATTCTGTAGCCGCTCGACCCGACGTCATCTTGCCCTATGACAATCTCGCCGAGGTCCCTCGTATCCGTTGCGTCAATGCCTTATGGCTTGATCAATCCCTCACTTTGAATCCCTCTTTTAAACAGATTCTCGACTCTGATTATAGAGCCGCTCTGAACCCAGCGGACTTTCAGAACCAGGTAATGTTTCGTCATTTTTTTTCCAGTCAAAATCTAAATATCTTTAATTAAATCAAATTTAAATTTTATATTACTCATAGCATTGTTAGGCTCTAGTCCATCTCCTTCCTCTTCTTGTCTCCTAAAAGAAATCATCTCATCAATTCTCACATTGATTGATGCATGATACATGGAGGAGCATATGTTTCTCTTCTCATATTATCTCTTCTGAGTACAAGAACTGGTTGGATTTGGTTATAAACACAGACACACAGAGTAGTTCTTAGAACACAAATTTGTTAAAGAGATTTTCTTAGTATCCTGAAATTGCATCTATTTATGCAGCCTCCTCATGCGACCCAAGAAATTAATTCTTGGGCGGAGAACGAGACAAGTGGCCTGGTTAAAGACTTTATGCGTGAAGAGTTTCTCAGCAACTCAGTCAAGTTTATCATTACAAATGCAATACACTTCAAAGGAGCATGGAAATATATGCCCCTTACGATAGAAGAGAACAAGAACTTAGAGATGGATCCCTCCATAAGTGCCAAGGGGAATGCATTGAAGGATTTGAAAATGGTTGATCAACCTTTTAAAAAGCAAAGTAAATATGACTACGACCGTTCCAGCACAGTAAGCTGTTACCCATTTAAAGATACTGATCGAGAGCGTATAGAACGTGTTACAGAAAACTTCAAGAATCTATGGGACCACCAGAAGACCCCAAAATTTAATATTTCTTCCGAGGAGTGGCTGAGGGGAGTAGGGGTGACATTCCCCTTTTTTGGAAAGTGGAGAGGGATGTTTAGTTGTTTTAGAGGTGGTAAGAATTTATATGTTTCCAGCATATTTCAGAAGTCATTCATGGAAACAAACGAACAAGGGACTGAAGTTGTGTCCATCACTGCGGCAGTAGTAATGTATGGGCGTCCACCATGTCTATTATTACCTCCCGTGCCTACATTAGGACATGAATATATCTACCCACTCCACATTTATGATGGTACTACGGCTAAAACAGAGTCTGTGATTATTGATCTCAGCGATCTTATCAAATAGGTTTCGTATGTTATGCTTCGTCCTCATTATAATTTGGATTTTTTATTCTTCTTGGTATTTTTTTTTTTGGGATAAAACAAGAGTATTCCCAAGTCATATTGGATTTAAAAGTAATCTCTTTCAGGTTTGAAACAGTTAAGGAATAGCCCTCCCAACAAATGTGCTTCTCAGGATTTGAACTTGTATTCTTCTCTTTATGAAGGTAAGACTGCTACCATATCAACCAACAGTTTGTTAGTGTATTTTTTTATTTTTAATTATTTCTTTCCTCGCAAACTCTGTTTCATGTTGTAATTTCAATGTTTGACCCTGTTTTGGTATTTATAGCAAAGAATCAATCATATGACTTTGCTGTTTAATATGTTTTGTTAGTAGTTTTTACATGTGAATAGTTTCAAGAGTACTCGACATTAAAGTAAGATAGATGATGACATTTTTTAGAGTGAATTGTAGATGTTTATTATACTCCTCCGGTCCTTATTATAAGACTCTATTTGACTTTTTATTTGGTCCTAATTATAAGACTCAAATCCATTTGTCTCTTATATTTATGCATTTTTTCCAAGATAATCCTTCCAATAATGATAGTTTTAGCCAATATACTTAATTAGCAAGGATATTTTAGGAATGACAACACTTATTTATTATAAATAACCAACTTAACTTACTTCTTTAATCTCCTCAAATAAATCAATTGGATCTTATAATTAGGACCGGAGGAGTATTTTGTAAAAAACATCGTACGCTAAAGATCAATGGGCGGCATTTTATAAATAACATGGAATAGGATTTAAAAAAACTTCTGTTGAAGGGGTTGAAGTCCCGAGTCTAATTTCTGCAAACCAAAATGTCTTTGATTAGTATTATTATCATGAAGTTAATAATAGAAAATGGTAATGATATATAAAGGATTAGAGACCACTGATACACTAAGATATGAGAAAGCTCTTTTTCTTCCAAACCCTCCTCGAAGTACCAATACATATCCAACATAATTAAATTTACTAATTTTTAGAAATATCAATTCCGCATGTGCTTGTATTTGGCAAATCCCTAATCATTTTTTAAAAAAATTTATGCTACACTAGACAATTGTTCTTATACAAAATTACTTGAATAATTTACTCAAGAGATAAAAATATACACGTCCAGGAATTTGTATTCCCATGTCTTCCAATTTATATCAAATATTCCATCAAATAATCTCCCTTCATGCATTCTATGCAATCTGACTAAATTACTTCTCTTGTTCTTATTATAAAAATATATGGTAAATATAATTTTAAAATATGTATTTTAGGAGATTATGGGAATATAATTATTCATAATTGATCATGTTATAAAAAGTCATAGTATGCGTAGGTTACTAAGCACGAAAGAGGCAAGTGTATCCAGCTTTTATATGCAATCTTCCTTATCATAATGCAAAGATATTGGGTGAAATTCCAAAGGTGACCCAAAGATTAAACACCCAATCATCAATGAGTTTAATTCCACATTAATCATTTTTCTGATGGTGCATTAAAATAATATTTTTTTTATTCAAGAAATCAAAGAGCTTGGTATTTGGAAACGAACAACGGAGAAAAACTCGAAGAAAGCAAAGAAATGCCTAGGAGGAAGAGTTCAAGTTTGAACTGCTCTCCATCATACGGCTAAATCTCCTCCGTCCCAGGAACTGGCCCTCCGTCCTTCCATGGCTGGAAAGGAGTGTCCTTTCCTTCTCCTTCTGCCCAGTTTTGGTAAACCAAATGGCTTCTTACTGCTGCTGAACAAGAGCAGGTCGGAAAAGTCAGAGAGGTCCCGCGTTGCATCCGAAATCGATGATCTTCGGAAGCCATCTTTTGGTCGGAGAAATAGGTGAAAACAGGGTGGATTCATACCCGCCCTTCGATGTGGTGCTCGCCCTCCTTGCTGCTGGCTCGAGCGTTTCCCCCCGCCGTCAGCGGCTCCCCTACCGTCGATTGTCTCAATTCTTTAGCCGCTCGACCCGCCGTCATCTTGCCCTATGATGATCTCGCCGAGGGCATTGGTACCCGTTGCGTCAATGCCTTATGGCTTGATCAATCCCTTACTCTGAAGCCCTCTTTTAAACAGATTCTCGACTCTGATTATACAGCCGCTCTGAACCCAGTCTACTTTCAGAGCCGGGTAATTTTTTTTAACTCAAAATCTAAATATCTTGAATTAAATCAATTTTAAATTTTACGTTACTCATAGCACCGTTAGGTTCTATTCCATCTCCTTCCTCTCTGTCTCCTAAAAGAAATCATCTCATCGATTCTCCTGAAATTGTATATATTTAAGAACAACATGAAATTGCTATAATTTGTGCAGCCTCTTCATGCGACCCAAGAAATTAATTCTTGACGGGTCTCTCAACAACTCAGTCAAGTTCGTCATTACAAATGCCATACACTTCAAACGAGCATGGAACGGGAAATCATATCTACCCCATATATGCAGACGTCCTCAAGAAGAGAACGAGAACTTAGAGACGGATGCGTCCATGAGTGCCAAGAGGAATGCATTTAGTGAGGATTTGAAATGGGTCAATCACAAATTTAAAAAGGAAAGTAAATATGATTACCAGCTTTTCAACATGGTGTTCTGTTTTCCATTGGAAGATACTGATCGAGTGCGTCGTACAGAACATGTTACACAAACCTTGAAGAATCTATGTGGCCATCACGAGATTTAATATTTCTTCCGAGGTGGAAGTTTCTGATACGCTGAGTGGAGGAGGGGTAACACTGCCATTTTCTGGAGGAAAGTGGAAAGGGTTGTTTAGTTCTGTTGGTGGGCAGAAGTTATATGTTTCCAGCATATTTCAGAATCATTCATGGAAATAAATGAACAAGGGACTGAAGTTGTGTCCGTCACTGCGGCAGTAGTAATGTCTGGGTATGTGTGTCCACCATGTCTACCTCCTGTGCCTACATTAGAAAATGAAGATATCTAGCCCCTCCACATTTACAATGGTACGATAGCTAAAACAGAGTCTGTGATTATTAATCTCACCAAGCTTATCATATAGGGTTCGTATGTTATGTGTCATCATTATAATTTAAATGTTTGACTCTCCTTGGTTTTTTTTATTAATTTTTTTTAGAGTGAATTATAGATGTTTATTACATTTTGTAAAAAATTTCGTATATTAAAAATCAACGGGCAGGATTTTGTAAATACCGTGGGATGGATTATAATGAGTTGATATGCTCAAAGCTACTGTTCAAACGAGGCTTTGGGATTGCCCAAGGTTTTGAACCAAACGGCGCGACATTGGCTTCAGTTCTGTCTGTTGTGCACGAGCAGGCTGTGTTGATTTGGGGGGAAGACTTCATGAGTTTATGAAGAATAAAGGGATTCAAGTGGGAGTGATTCTTGGTACAGCATTGGTTTACATCTATGCAAAGAGTGAAGCGATTACAAAGGCTCAAAAGGTGTTTGAAAGAAATATTGCAACTTGGAATGCTATGGTACGTGGGTTGGCTACTCACGGGCATGCTCTAAGAGTCAAGATGACCTTATCCTGTTCCAGAAGCTGAGGAATGAGCAGCTTGCACCAAGTGATGTCACATTCATAGGGGTCCTATCTGCTTGTTTTTCTGATATATGGGCTCTCTGGATTGCTTTTATGTTTTTGCCATCTTCATCGCTTATAAATGGACTTACAGAGCCCTAGAATGAAACTGAGCTGTGACTATGAATTTGTGTGCCTCAAACAAATGTTGTTGTAACAATCTGCATCTGCAATAACGGTGTATTTTGATGATTGTTTTATAAAGTTTGTGACTAGGATATCAGATCGTTACCAAATCCACACCCAAGCAGTCAACATGAAAACCAACTAGAAAATCCCAAAAGAGAGGCTCAGTGACGTTAGATTCAAGTTCAAAAGAAATAAAGAGCAGCTTAAGGAATTCATAAAATTCAACTCACATAATTTTCCTATAATGATTTGCTCACTTTCTTTAAAAAACGAAACTATGCTGTTAATACTCAAACACTTGTGTGTTACTTATATTGGCCAAAGAAATTGTATTGTATTCAATATGAGAGAGCCTTGTAGAGCCTTTCTCAGTTTCTCTGGATATAAATTCATCAAATAGAATTTAGAAGCGCCAATTGCTCAACCCACATATTTCAACTCTGCTCTGTCTAATTTTAAAAGGGAGAGAACAAGAGAAGAAAATAGGATTAAAAAAAAAGAAAAAAAGAAGCTTCTAGTTGAAGAGGTTGAAGTCCCAAATCTAATCTCCGCAGATGAAGATGGTATTTGATTATTATTAATATAAAGAAGTCAATAAGAGAAAATGGTAATGATATGAAAGTACTATAGATCACTGATACACTGAGATATGAGAAAGCCTTTTTTCTCCCAAACTCTCCTCAAAGTAAGCTTATTTTAACTGGTAATCATGGTTCATTACACTGAACTCCTGCGAAATCAATTTATTTTACACATAGATCCTTAAGTAATCATCCATGCGTGTGTAATTAACCTCAGGATAAAGGTTTGAGGCTTCTTCTCCCTCTTCACCTATTTCAAAATCTGTTAAACATCCCTCATAGAAAATGTGATAGAAGTGTCCAATTCCAACTTGGAGCTTATAATCCATGCCTACAAACAAGAAAGATATATTCCAATGAGAGGGGGGGGGGGGGACTGCTTAACAAATGTGAACGCAGAATCAGTTTTTTGTCTTACCTCTCAAGGTGATGAGGAAGTCTTCTGCAGATATATACGTCTTTTCTAGTTCCTTCCCAATGAGCTTCTCCCAAATTCCAATAAGCTCTCCTTGGGAAAGAATGTTCTCTGGTGGCCTTAAATACAATGTTTTGTTTAGAGTTCGAGGGTCGTCTATTGCTTTTATGGTATATGTTGCAACATCTTCCTCATCCATAAACACAGCTGTAACCATACATAGTCTCATATTAACCAAACAAGATGTTGCTGTCGTTGAACTAAGTTGGATTTTGCAGGAAACAATCAGAGGACAAGAGGGGACAACCTTAAATGTAATACTAGAAAGTTTGATGGTGAATGAAAGCAATTGAAGTATGTGTGTTACCTTTGAGGTTGCCATCACCAAATAGATGGACCTTGTCTCTTGGAGGGACAAAGGAGCCCATCTGAGAGAGGCTGCCGGCAAAGTATCCGGCGAACAAGTTTGCTGAGATGTAAGTGTAAGGGATGTTAGCTTCCTCTATTGCTTTTCGCACTGTCATTTTGTCATCAAATGTCACTCTTCCTGGTTCCAGAGCATGTCCCATACGAGCAGGGTCCAGTCCAAATTCCGAAGGCAAGAAACGCTACAAGAAACAAAAATATAAAGACAACAATATTTTTTAGCATTCTGATAAAAAAAATTGCCTGATTTTGTTCTCCAAATGTGTTCTGCAGAACACAAGAAGACTATGTGGGAAATACTTGAAAACTTGGTAAAAAAGGATTCAGTTTTTGCGCCATTGTTGATTTACTTAATCTTTACGTCTCAATGCATAGACGGGTCGTCAGGGTAAAAGACTAAAAGTCAACGCGACAGGGTTAATGAAAGAAGGAATGGAAGGAAAAGCAGATGGATCACAGACTCATAATAGAAACAATAATACCTTAACATTTCCGGCTTCTTTGATGGCGTCGACAAGCTTGAGCTGCAGCAGAATGCTGTGACTCCGGAAATGAACGCCGGAGACGGCGCTGATGACAACGTCAACCTGCTTAACGGCGTCAACGAGGCTCCGATGATCGGAGAAGGAGGCCTGAACGAGATGAGCACCTTGCTTCTTAAAGGAGAGCAACATCTGAAGCTTCTCAATTTGGAGGCCTAACTCAGGTCGTTGAACAATATAAGTCTCATGGCCCTGAGCCAGACAAGCCTTCACAATCCTCCTCCCAATATACCCAGTTCCACCCACAATCAAAACCTTGCTTTTCGCCATTTTTATGACCCCTCTGCTCTGTGATCCTTGGGGTTCCAATCTACTTCAAGAGAGGTTCTTTCCTTGTTGGGCACGGAGTTTGCGGAAAATAAATAAAGAGGGGAGAAGGAAGGAAGTAGTGGATTGATCTGTATTTAGAGTACAGAATTTGATTGGAGTGTTGATGTGCAAGTAAAATAAAAAGGGTAGGTCGAAGCAAGTAGGTGAGGAAAGTGAAGCCAACTTTGGGAGTCTAATTTGTATATTGAACTAAAGCTGCTGTATGTTGACTATTTGAAGCGAAGAGCTTCGGGTGATTGTAGCAAGCCAAAGCTGAACGACGAAAAGGAGGCTGCAACAGATGGCCCTTAAATAATTGTATATAGAAATGGAAGGACCAACCTCCCACTCTAGAGAGAAAGGTGAACTTATTTAATTACAATGTAAGGGTTAGGAAGTCAAATTTAGTTATAAATATAAAACTTCAACATATTTTATTTTTTTATAATTTCATCTAAATAATTTAAAAGGATATTTTAAAAAAATCAAGACATATTTTTTTGAAAAATACCTAATTTAACTATTTTTTACTTTATCCAAATTAATTATATAGGTCTTATATTAAAAATGAGAGATAGTATAATCTATTTTAACAGTTTCTTTTATTATTGTGATATTGTAAATCAGAAAATAGTTGTATATTTACATCTTATGTTTTATATATGTATTACTTCCAGTCTTTAATATAAAATCTAATTAACTAATTTAGAAATATTAAGAAAATAATTAAATTAGTTATTCGTAATAAAAAGTATTGTTTTTCTTCTAAAATATCACTGTTAATTATGTGTATTAATTAAAACTATAATTTGATATAACCTTTTACATGTGTAACTATTATAAAAAGTATTTTATAAAAAAAATAATATAAAAATAAAATTAATTAAAATCTTATATTTAAAAATAAATTAAATATCGAAACAAGGAGGGAGTTAGTGTTAGTAATTTAATCTACAGTCACATTGAATGACTTGTTGGGTTGTCTTTTCGAGAACAAGAAGATATTTTAGAGATTGGCAAATCAAAAGCAGCCATACCAACAATAGTCAAAGTTTTGGATGTAATTAGAATATATATTATATATATTTATATACTACTGGACTTTATTATAAGATTTAATTAATTAATTTGGAGAGATTAAAGAAATTATTTAAACTAGTTATTTGTTATAAATAGGTATTGTCTTTTCTAAACTATCCTTGTTAATCATGTATATTACTTAGAATTATCATTTCATAAAACCTTTCATATGTGCAATCACTTTAAGAACTATTTTAGAAAAATGAATAAATATTAAAAATAAAATGGTTTTGGAATCTTATATTTAAAATTAAATTTAAAATTAAACAAACTCTTATAATAAGAAATGGAAAGAGTATATCCCATCTTGAAAATAATCAAACGAGGACTAACTTTTGATGTGAGAGGGCTGAGCAACGCAACACGTGACTCCACCTAATCTCATATATTTCCTGCACTTCGTTTTTTCCAATTAACCAAAGACAATTATTCTTTGTCAGGCTTTAACGTAGAACATGCTCTCTTCTCAATAGAAATACAAGGTTGGCTTACAGTGGGTGAGCGAACCCCCGAGGAGTTGCTGAACCTATTGTATAGAGATGCAATGGGTATTACTTGTCCAAGACTTGTTTCTATGATTTGTTAATGTTTTGGGAGCTGCTCCTTTCTTACCAAAAAAAAAAAAAAGAAATACAAGGGGTCTTCAAGTTGACCCACTATGGCTTGGTTACTTTAGGCCAGGCCCAATCCCTTTGGGTAGATAGGACCAGACTGGGCGATTGCAGCTCAATCAGACATTTAAAAAACATATATTTCAAAAAGATGTAGTTTGGAGAGAATCATGTCAAAGGACGAAATTTTCAAAAGGAAAAATGACCAAAAAAAAATAATAATAATTACCAGTTAAATTTTAAAAAGATAAATAGGTCATCCTGATTACTCTTATAATAATTTTTGACATGTCAAAATCACCTATTTATTATTTTAAAATTCAAAAGGTATTTTTTTCTTATTTTTTCTTCTCAAAAAATCACTAATGATAAATACCCTCTGGTCGGGGTTCAATGGCTCAACCCAAAAAAAAAAAATTGTTCTTACTATAAAAATCTATTAACCACCTTACATATATTTTAAAAAATTAATTAAAAATGATTAAGTGAACATGTTTTTAAAATAGTCCTTAATCCAGTTTGAGATAAGATAGACCATGAGTGTGATAAAGAAAGAATAGTTTTAAAAGTGAGTCAATATATATATGATTTTTTGGTAAAAAGATCTCGCATCAAATATGACTGATAAAAATAAGAAAAAATAAACCAAATTAAAATAACATGACTATGTACAAGCCAGATTTTAAAGGCAAATCCCATATGAAACTCATATGTGCCCAGCAAGTTTAGCAATGGGAAAAACGTACAAGTCAAAGATTTTGATGTGACTAGGAAGATTATTTTTTATACCAACTAGCTTGTCTCACACTCCGTTGAAGAAATGACATTTTGTAAGTAACCGGCCAAGACTGAAACATGTTTTCGTCCAGTTAAAACTAAATGAGTTTATTTCCTGTCTCAATTATCATTATTGAAGCTACCAAACCAAGGTTATATTTCTCTGACGTGCCCTTTAATTCAATTAAGCTTCTGAATTTAATACATTTTTCGCAACTCATCTTGGCCCAACCTTGCAGGTACCTTTCCTTTTACACGTCTCTTCAAGCCAGCCTTGTGGTTTTCGTGCTGTTAGTGTTTAACGCAACGTATCACCTCTAAGCTTTTTCTGCTTTATATTTTACTCATCAAGTCAGATTATATCATATCCTCCTATAGTAATTAGATCTCATCTCAACTAATGTATTCTTGATCAATACAATGGAAAATATTTCTGTAACAGATTATGGCGACTAAAAGAGCAGAAAAAGTTCTGATTTTCATGAACACATACATATGATAAAGTTGCAATCTTAAAAAGATGGTCCATAGCAACCGCCCAAATTTAAGATGGTTTGTTTAATTTTCCCTTTAATTCAACTGATTCTGCTCATTTAAGTTTCTGACATGTGAGATCTTACTCCGCAGGATTGTAGCTGTTGAGTTCAAAAGGTGACGACATAACCGCTTAAATACACCAATTTTTTCTCTCCTCTAAATGGTATTATGACTTTTGGGCATTAGCTGATGTAGGGGCCCTTGTTCTTCTAAATGGCGCCTTGCTCTTCAAACACATGCCTTTACCTAAAGACAAAGCAAAAACATACCATTGTATCTGCCAAGCTAAAGCCAAACATGAGAAATATATAAGGTTGAAATTTTGAAGTTTTTCCAACCTATGTGTACACTCCAAGACACCAAGATCAAGCTCAGATTTTCTAGCTATGTATATATAGGTCAAGAAGAACACATCAGGACATGATCACCAGAATAGTACACACAGAGAGAGAGAGAGAGAGAGAGAGAAGAGAGACATGGAAAAGAGCAAAGTGCTGATTGTTGGGGGAACTGGGTACTTGGGGAAGAGGTTGGTGAAGGCAAGCTTAGAAGAAGGACACCAAACCTACGTTCTTCATAGACCAGAGATAGGGGTGGACATTGAGAAGGTCCAGCTTCTTCTTTCATTCAAGGAGCAAGGAGCTCGCCTCATTTCGGGCTCTTTCAATGACCACCAACGCCTTGTGAATGCTGTAAAGCTTGTTGACGTAGTCATTTGTGCCATATCCGGTGTCCATATTCGCAGTCATCACATCCTACTTCAACTCAAGCTCATTGATGCCATTAAAGAAGCTGGAAATATCAAGGTACTAATTACTACAATAATACCAAGATTTTGTGTCGCGTATGTGTCTACGTCCCTTAGGTCTCAAGGAACTTGAGATTTCACTAACTAAACTAGCTTGGCCCTTTTTATGAGTTCTTAGTTTTAGTCAGAATGAAACATCTCAGTAAGGTAAGAGATGAAGTTGGCTACATATGCATGTAATGTTCATAAAATTGCCCTGTAGTTTTTCAGATCACGAAGTGCTACTGATTTGTACAGAGGTTTTTGCCATCTGAATTTGGGACGGATCCTGCAAGAATGGCACATGCATTGGAGCCTGGAAGAGTAACATTTGACGACAAAATGGTAGTGAGGAAAGCCATTGAAGAGGCCAACATACCCTTCACCTATGTTTCTGCTAACTGTTTTGCTGGTTATTTTCTCGGTGGTCTGTGTCAGCCTGGTTTCATCCTACCCTCCAAGGATTCTGTGGTCCTATTTGGAGATGGCAACACAAAGGGTAAAATACAATACTTACTTTTGAGCCTTTTATTGATTCACTCTATCAACACGCATGGACTTGTCTGTAACTATGCTTATTCCAATTTGGCAGCAATTTATGTGGATGAGGATGATATAGCGAGGTACACTGTCAAAACCATAGATGACCCCAGGACTCTAAACAAGACAGTTTACATCAGGCCACCCAAGAACATCTTGTCCCAGAGAGAAGTTGTCCAAATCTGGGAGAAGCTCATTGGGAAAGAGTTGAAGAAGTCTTCAATTTCTGAACAACAGTTTCTGGCTTCCTTGGAAGGTGAGATCAGTATCAGTTCATTAACAAATGGCAGCAGAGTTGGCATCTGCAAAGAGTGCCATCCAAGCAGTTGAATTCTTCAATTTCGATTAAACACCTTTTGTACTAAAAAGTTCTTGCCATTTTTCATCAGTTCTTGTAGTGAGAGTGGAAAACTTGGTTATATGTTCTTATTGTGTGCTCATTTTCTGGTGGTTACAGGGCAAGCATATGCAGAACAGGTGGGACTGATACATTACTACCATGTCTGCTTTGAAGGATGTCTTACGAATTTCGAGGTGGGAGAAGAAGGAGTTGAAGCATGCCAACTTTACCCTGAAATTAACTACACAACGGTTGAACAATACATGAAACGCTATGTGTAGAAGGTTTTTATGTTTTTACCAAGTTCCATAGTTGGTTCGTTTCCCTGAACAGAATGGATCGAGTTCAATAAAGGTTGTGCAAATAAGCAAAGCGGAACTTATTTTCATCCCTGACTGTTGCAAATGCAAGGCAAAGAAGCCGTTGTAATAACTTTTTCCTACATAAAATATATTTTAATGCTCTGTGTTTTTTCAACGAGTCACATGTTGAAATTATATTTCCATACGTTCTAGATTAAAGGTTTAGATTGGAGCTCGGATCCATTTGGTCTCTTCCCTATGTCTCATTTCTCCCACCTCTCTAACTTTTTTCTATATTGCACGAGCTTATAAGAAATAGATTTTTGTTATACAAAAAGAAAAAGAAAAAAACAATGTTAAGGTGCATCTCAAAGTATTTTTTTCAACGCATATAGTGTCCTAAAGTGTTTTTTTTAGTACGTCCAACATCTTGAGATTTTTTTTGTGCATCGAGCATCCTAAAATTTTTTTTTAGTGCACTTATTACCCAAAAATACTTTTTAGTGCACCAAGACAAATAAAAAACTAAATGCATCACAAAATACTTCAGTACTGAATGCATATAAAAAAATATTTTGAAATATTGGATACATCTCAACGAAAAAAAAACAAAGAAATAGATTTTTACTTTCTTCCTTCCTGCTTCATTTATATACATCAAAATGGGTTGTTTTTCAACATTTACTTGTGATATTTTACCACTTGTGTGTTCTGGTAAGATCCTTGACTAAGTAAAGGCAAATCTTTGTAAATATTTTTTCGTACGTAAAATGATGTCTTCTCGACCTGAATTATCTCTGCTTTTTCACATGATGCACATCAAAATATATTTTTATTTTAGCACATCTGAAGTGTAATGTTTGGCAATTAAAAAAAAAAAATGCTTTTCTACCCTAAACCATAGCTTTGGCCAGAGATTACCCAAAGAAGTATATTTTTTAGAAAACCTTAAAAGGTGTTTGGGATAAGCTAAAAAGTGTTTCTGAAAAGCATTTTTCTGTAAATTGAGATAAATTTCTCCACATATTTATTCCGTAAAAGCACTTTTAAATTCATTAGTTTTGCTTTTACCCAAACACCTAATTTGGTCCAAAACTAAAGTTTTGGCCTCCAAAACCATGGTTTTATGAAAAGCAAAAAAATTGCTTTTGAAAATGTGGTTCTTTTTTTTTTTTTTTACATTGTAATACTATCTCCAATCCTTAATATAAGAATTAGTTGGCTAATTTGATAAATTAAAAAATTAGTTAAGTTAGCTATTTGTAATAAATATGTGTTGTCTTTCCTAAAATATCCTTTCTAATAATGTGTATTTGCTAGAAGTATCATTTGATGAAATATTTAACATATGTAACTATTACAAGGACTACTTAAAAAAATGGATAAATATAATAAATAAAATGGATTGGAGTTTTATATTTAGTACCAAATTAAATATCAAAATAGCTTTTATATTAAAGATCGGAGTTAGTATGTTGTTAAAAAAAACTAGTTGTCAAAAAATATAATGGGATTTCATATTTAAAATCTGTAAAATAATATTTTTTTTGTTGGCAAAAAAATAATCATTTTTTAAAAACATATTTAATCTTATATTTTATAAATACATATATACATACTAATTTTTTATTAATTATGTTTTTTATATATTATTTATTATGTTAGCAAAAAATATATTATTAACAAATTTATTACTTCAAATAAAAATATATTATAAAATCTATCTTTTATGTAATTATCATATTAACCTATATCCTTTTTAGTAATTTATATATATAAAAGTGCTTCTAATAACAACTATCCAAATAATCTCACTTTATCAAAATTACTTTTTCATAAAATCTATTTTCAAAAATAACTTTTTTCTCAAAAACTATTCTCCAAATCATGGTTTGATTTTATCTATACACTTTTTTAATGTATTATCTCTATGTGAAACACTTGATTGCTTTCTTCCTAACTGTTTCTTTTACTTTCATTAAGGTGCGCCAATTTTAATTCACCAAGAAAAAGGAGGATAGTTTCTCATAAGCTTATATTGTGATATTTCCTTTTTTCCCCCCAGCTGTAAGTGCTAGTAGGATCTGGGGCTTTCTAGAGTTTTTAAAAGGAAAAGGGACTCGAGAACAGTCTACCTGCTACTCGGAAAAGTCAACTTAACTATTACTGGTCAAATAAATCAGAGCCAATGGTTTCAAACTTTTTCAACAAAACCATGTTCATGGATTCAAATTCAAGGCGTAATACCATTGTCCATTGCGGCTGCCGCTAGTCGTTCCAACCCCGATGATGGACCTTCAATGGCCGCTAACATTGACACCAGCAACCATTATGAAGAAAGGAAAATTTTCTTAAAAAAGGGGCAATTTGATAAATATATTTAATTTTTAACTTCGTTAAAATCTTAAAAACCACATTATTTATTATCTGTGAGTAGTGTAATTTTTATGGATTTTATATTTTTTTATCAATATATTGATTATGTTTGTTTACCTGATAAGATACTTGACTTTCCAGAGTTTTTTTTGGTGGGAAAAAAAAAGTATTCTTCTGTGGCATCTGCCCTGCTGGGTACGTAGTTTGTTTTTCCTCTCTACATCATCCCAGTGACAACTAAATCTCATAGAAGTCAGTCGTACCTATTCCTTGTTCAATAACAGTTTTAGGTCCAAGAAGTAGGAGTCAATTATCTTCTTTATAACTATTAAGTCCAACTTGAAGACCAAGAGCTCTATCATTAACCGATTAAATCACATGGAGAAGAACTGAACTTCATTTGTTTCCTTCAACACAAGAACACATGGCTGAGGCTATCCTGGAGGTTGTGCTTGAGAATTTGAGCAAGTTCCTTGAGAATGAGCTTGGCCTTTTTCTGGGTGTCAATCAAGAGATGAGAAGACTCAGTGGCACACTTTCAACTATCCGGGCTGTGCTTGAAGATGCCGAGGAAAAGCAAGTCACTGACATGGCTATAAGAAATTGGCTGCAAAAGCTGAAAAATGCGGCTCACTTTCTGGATGACATATTGGACGAGTGTGCAACAGAAGGACTTCGATTTCAGTATGAAAGACAAAGTTGTAGATCAACAAACAGGGTAAGACATTCTTTCTTATCCTCATTGCATCCAGTGAGCATTCTTTTCCGCTACAAAATTGCTAGGAAAATGAAAAATATAAGGGTGTTGTTGGATGAAATTGCTGATGAAAAGCGCAAGTTTCATTTTTGTGAGACAGTTATCCCGAGGAAAAATGAAGTGATGGAATGGCGTCAAACCGGTCCAGTTATTTCTCAACCTCAGCTCTATGGAAGAGAAGGAGATAAGGAAAGAGTTGTGGATTTTTTGGTCAGTCAGGCCTCAAGCTCTGATGGTTTATCAGTGTATCCCATAGTTGGGATGGGTGGACTGGGAAAAACAACTCTGGCACAACTTGTGTTCAATGATGAGAAGATAACGAAACATTTTCAGTTGAAGATCTGGGTATGCGTTTCACAGAATTTTGATGTTAAGAAAATGTTAAAAGCTATCATGGAATCAGCCACTGGGCATAGCTGTGAGTCGCTGGATTTAGATCCCCTGCAGAGAAAAATTCAAGAGACTCTTCAAAGAAAAAGATCCTTAATTGTTTTGGATGATGTGTGGAATGATGACCCAGAGAAATGGGATAGGCTGAAATGCGTCCTGTCTTGTGGATCAAGAGGTTCCTCCATTATTGTCACAACTCGGCTAGCAAGGGTAGCATCCATCATGGAAACCCAGACTTCTCATCAGTTATCTGGCTTATCCATTGGTGATTGCTGGGAATTGTTCAAGCAACGTGCCTTTGGACCAGACAAGAAAGAACATGCACAGCTAGCGGACATAGGAAAGGAGATAGTGAAAAAGTGTGGTGGTGTGCCTCTTGCTGCAAAAGCATTAGGAGGCCTCTTACGCTTCACAAGGGAGGAGATCGTGTGGCTCAATGTCAAGGAAAGCAAATTGTGGAATCTGCCGCAGGATGAAAACTCCATCTTATCTGCCTTGAGATTAAGCTATTGGAACTTGCCATTCAAAGTAAGACCTTGCTTTGCCTATTGCGCCATTTTCCCCAAAGGTAAAGAAATTAACAAGCATTTGCTAATTCAACTTTGGTTGGCTAATGGGTTCATAACACCCCACGGAAAATTGGATGTAGAAGATGTGGGCAATGAGATGTGGAAAGAATTGTATTGGAGATCATTTTTCCAAGATATTCAGACAGATGAATTTGGTATCGTTGCAAGTTTCAAGATGCATGATCTGGTTCATGATCTTGCGCAATCAGTCATGAGAGAAGAATGTCATATTCTGGACAACACATGCTCTGGTGATTTGTCAGAAAAAACTCGCCATCTCTCTGCTCCTATCTATCGACTGAGAAGATCTCATTTCGGTTTGTCAGAAATACCCAAATCTTTGCGCACCAGCTTACATGTATCAAATGCAGTTTCTTCTGTCTCCCTACTGATGAAATGTACTTCTTTGAGAGCCCTTCATGAGAGTGGCAGTGAGACAATAACAGATTTGCCATCTTCAATAGGGAATTTGAAGCATCTGAGGTATCTTAACTTGAGTGGTACTCAAATAAAAAAACTCCCCAAGTCAATTTGCAGTTTGTGGAATCTGCAGGTTTTGATTTTGAGTTATTGTTGGAATCTCAGGAAGTTGCCTAAACGCGTGAATCACCTTAAAGGTCTACAAGAATTAATGTTAGATGGCTGCAGTTCGTTAACTAGCATGCCCCCTGGTATTGGTCAATTAACTTCTCTGAGGATCTTGACTCGCTACATCGTTGGCAAAGACCCAGGCCTTCAAATCAGTGAACTAGGGCGCTTGAACCTGCAAAATAATCTAACTATAGAGCATTTGGAGAGAATCAGAGGAGTGATAGATGCCAAAGAAGCAAATTTGGTAAGCAAGGAGCTGAAAGAGTTATCTTTGTCATGGGATGCCAACATTGAATCAAGCACGAAAGAAAATGCTGAGCAGATGCTTGAAGCCCTTGAACCACATGCAAAACTCTCGAGTCTGCATGTAGAGGGATATAGAGGTGCCTATATGGCACAATGGATGAGTAACCCTAGTTTTGAACACTTGTTTTCAATGAACCTTGTAAGTTGCCATAACTGTTTAGAACTCCCACGACTGGGGAAACTCCCATCTCTGAAGCATCTAAGATTATCTGGTATGTATCGGATTCCATGCATCAACAATGAAACCAACAACAGAGTAAAGGCTTTCCCATCACTTGAAAGTCTTGAGCTCTGTGATCTAGCAAACTTGGAATATCTGTGCGAAGATAACATAGGAGGGAATTTTCCATGTCTTTCTAGGATGTTCATTTCTCGGTGCCCCAAGTTGGCCTTGCCTATTCTTCCATCTGTCAAAGATCTAGTTCTAATTGACTGCAAGGAAGTGTCTTTGAGCTCAATCTACAATCTCTACAATCTAAGATTCCTTCAAATTTCTGCTTCCCAAGAACTGACCACATTCCCACCGAGGATGTTGAGAGGCCTTAGAGATTTAGAGCAGTTAAACATCACTTACTGCTCTGAACTGGAATCATTTCCAGGGCAAATGTTAGAAGGTCAGCACTGTCTCCGAGCAATCAAGATTGATTCTTGCCAGAAGCTGAAGTCTTTGTGGGAAGGTTTCGAAGACCTTTCTTCGCTAGAAACTTTGGAAATCATAGAATGTAGGGAACTAGCAGCATTGCCAAATGGTATCATTCACCTTACATCTTTACAACGTTTAGTCATAACTTCCTATGTGGGTGGAGCCATGGGCACTATGATTCCTGTTAAGTTGGAAACATTACCAGAGTCATTAGGATACATTTCTTCACTGCAATATCTCAAGATAAGTGCACTTCAAAATTTGGCATCTTTACCTGAATTGGGAAACCTTGTATCCCTTCGAACCTTAGAGGTTAGTCACTGCCCAAAGTTGCTATCTCTTCCTGCAAGTATTCAACGACTCGCCAACTTGCTGGAGTTGAAGTTAAAGAGTTTGCGAAATCTTGCATCCCTGCCTAATGAGTTGGAGGGCCTTGCTTCTCTGGAAATGTTACTTGTTGAAGATTGTCCAAATTTGCCTTCCCTTCCCATGAGCATTCAAAGCCTCCCCAACTTGAAGAGCTTGGCTATAGCGGATTGCCCTGAACTACAGAGGAGATATAAGAAGGAAACAGGAGAATATTGGCACAAGATAGCACACATACCTTGTGTTAAGTTTTATCCCAAAGCTAGACCCCCCAAGACCAAGAGGCGCGAATAGATTGCTGGAAATTTTTTGAAGGATCCAATTCACTTTTGGAATCTTGTTCCACTCCAACGATACGTGCCTTGTTACACGATTTCAATGGTCCTCTCATCTTCTTGGTGGACTGAAATCTACCCACAGCCTTGTCAAGAGAGTCTCATTAGATAATCTATTTGAGTTTTTGACTTCATCTTCAAGCCATGCATTATTCTATATGCACATAATATGGCCAATATGGATCATAAGCTAAGAAAAATGGGGTATTAACTTCTTTTATTTTTTTAATTGACTTCTTTTACTATATGGATCCTTAGAAACTGCTATTACTTTTTCTTTCTGTTGACCCTGTATCAGATGTGACGTGATTTGAGTTTACTGAGCTTTCTACCACAATTTGATGTTCTTCATTTTCCTATAAAAGTTCTCTTAATTGAGTTCTCATGGCTTGTTGACGCCTGGTAATATGTTTTTACCAAGTACTTTCTCAATATTAATTAGCTAGAACTGCGAGTCTAATAGGGACTCATGTTAAGTTAGTGGACCATGGAAGCAGTCCGAGATTGGAGACGTTGTGGTCAGTTCTTTAAGTTCTTATAAAACCTGTTTCATGTTGTGAACATACTTTTTCTGTGTCTTCTTAGTCTGAAAGTTGTAGATTTCGATTTGTTGTTATCAGTGATAGTTATGACCAAAACGGAATAATCAAAGCTCTGAAAACAAATAAAACACCTGAAAGCATCCATCTTAAACCCAATTGAGCGGATTTCAACCCAATTCATGTTTCTTGAATGTGAGAACCAATTCACGGTGTTAATATAATACAATACAATGGTGTTATAAATAAAGTATGTGTGCTTAAAGGAAAACTTAGACCAAAAGTCTCTAACTGCTTCGAGAAGTCCTTAATCCAACATTTTATATTGATTTAAGAAATCTGTAAAGCAGGAATTAAAACTGGCATCGTGTTTGACAGCATTTCATGAGAAGGGTGACAAACGGATATGTCTTGCAATGTGTTGTAGTTCATAGATATCCCTTTTTCTTTTTTTAATCAAAAATTGAGGGCGTGTGCGGAAATTACCAGAACCTAGCATATTCACAAATTTTGACTGAAGGTTGACTAAAAATATTGTTTGGATGCAAATCTGATCAATTTCCTGTAGCTGTCCATCGGGTCTTGCTAGGATACAGAATTTTACCAAAGAGAGGGAATTTTATTTTTCAGACGCAGCTAGCTTTATAATGAATGATAAAAATGGACTCTTTTAATTTTTCATTTTATTATTCTAAAGCTTCTTTTTTTTATCGAGGAAAGTATTACATTAATGGGGAGTTTGGTATATCCAAAAAATATATTTAAAAAGTACTTTCACGTAAGTTATGACAAAATTCTTCTTACATATTTATTTTATATACTATAAAATTACTTTTAAAATACATCAAATCTGCATAAGGTAATAGAAATATTGTTTCATCGTAGGAAAGAAAGGAATTTTTGTTTTTTGAATCCGCCCCCCCATCTGTACAAATATCAAATCTAATGCAGCAGGTCATCCAGCCATTACAGAACCAACAAAACTCAAAGAGATATCGCTTACATCATTCAGCAGAGAAGTGGGCTCATCTGTACGAAAATCTGGAAGTACTCAACTTCCCCCTAAATAACTCTCTTTTTATGAACGAAATGTTGTTCATAGATCCTTATTAGAACTTTCCATAAAGATTGCATAATATAAGGTCACAAAAAGAACATTATAGACGAAGGCATATCAGGGAAGCCTAATATAATCCCATAAGTTCGTGAAATATAATGGAGCAGAACTGTGTATTATACTTCGTGAAACCAAAGAAAAGCGTAATACATACAGACTACAAATCAAGTGGATCGCTGCTTACGTCGGTCAGGTGGGAACTGTTTGAATTTCAATAAATCTAAGAATGATGCCCAGTGGCCACTATAGGGACCACGGAGAGCTTTTAGTGGCATGGCCCCATCTTCCATCTAGAATCGTAGGTTATTTAGCGACAACAGGCTGTTGACCAGTAAAAGGCAAGAGAAACACGTAACATAAAAGTGTCTATGATCGACCAATGAAAATGGACCGACCTCACTGCCTATTGTTAATCCCGCGAAGGAACCCTCGTGCTCGTTGATGAATGGTCACCATCATTTATTCTAGCTCCTCTCTTTCAAATCATTCACACTGCTCTAGCCCAAACTCATTTATGGTCGGAAACTGCCAAGTTGTTGCAATCACATTTCCTTGCTCTCCAAGTTTTCGTTCTTCCTATAAAATCTGAGAAGACCGAATGGGAATTTCAAATTATGCGTGAAGTTGATAGTGGAAACTCACAGGACCATGTCAGCTGAGATTTTCGTGGTGCCCTTCTTCGGGCAAGGTCATCTTTTTCCTTGCATTGAGCTATGCAAACGCATAGCTTCTAGAAATTTCAAGGCATCCCTCGTCATTGCGTCCCACCTCGCCTCCTCTATACCATCCTCTCTCCGCGACTACCCTTTAGTCCAAATCCATGAAGTCCCATCGTCCCTTATGCCTCCGTCCGAACCAGGGTCACAGTCGCCCCCACTTCACGCGCACCGTAGAATTCACGCCCAGCTAGCTCTAGGGATCGAGAAGCTCCTCTCAGTCGGACCCGATAATCCCAATCCACCCCGACCCATTTGTGCCATCCTTGACGTCATGATGAACTGGTTGTCTGATTCTTTCCAAAAATTTCAAGTGCCCACAGTAGCGTTCTTTACCTCCGGTGCTTGCTCTGCCGCATTAGAATATGCCATTTGGAAAGCCAACCCCGAAGATATCAAACCCGGCGAAATCCGATTGCTACCCGGATTACCAGATGATGTTGCGCTGGCCTCCTCGGATCTCAAACGACGGCCACACGGCCCTCCACCACCAGACGATGGTGGACCACCACTGGACATCGGAGCAGGGCCGCGAATGAGGGGACCGCCTAAACCCGGTGACCAACCACCTTGGCTAGAAGATGCAAGAAAAACAAACGCGATGATGATCAACACGTGTGACGATCTGGAGCGTCCATTCATTGAATACATTGCGAAACAAACCGGAAAGCCGGTTTGGGGTGTAGGCCCGCTCCTGCCTGAGCATTATTGGAAATCCGCAGGTTCTCTCGTTCACGACCAGTTGGTTCGAACGAACCGGCGGTCCAATGCTACTGAGGAGGAAGTGATCCAGTGGTTAGATTCAAAGCCGCATGGTTCAGTTCTGTATGTATCATTTGGAAGTGAAGTGAGTCCAACAATGGAAGAATACCCACAATTAGCTGAAGCATTGGAGTCTTCAGACCAACCTTTCATATGGGTGATCCAACCCAATGCAGGAAAACCGGGTCCTCCACGCTTGTTGGCAGGTAAAGAGCCTGGTTCACATGTGGAAGAAGAAGAAGAAGGCTATTTTCCTCACGGGCTAGACAGAAGAGTGGGAAAAAGGGGTTTGATCATATGTGGGTGGGCACCACAGTTGTTGATACTAAGTCATCCGTCAACGGGTGGATTTTTATCACATTGTGGTTGGAACTCCACGGTGGAGGCTATTGGACGTGGGATCCCATTTTTGGCATGGCCCATTAGGGGTGACCAACACCATGATGCCAAGTTGGTGGTGGGCCATTTCAAGGTTGGGTACATGATCTCTGAGGATCTCTCTCAAATGGTGAAAAAGGATGATATAGTGAAGGGAATAGAGAAGCTGATGACTGATAAACATATGAAGAGCAGGGCTGAGGGTCTTAGGGCTATGTTTCAGGATGGGTTTCCAAGGAGTTCAGAGGCTGCTTTAGATAATTTCACTCATTATATCAACCACTAAGTGAAGTACGGAATGTTTAGATTAGCATTTCAGAGATGATTTTCGGATGTTTGAAATAGCTACATAGAAAAATATTATTTTGACTTGTATAAAAATATTTTTGTTTGAGTGAAAGAGATTTTATTGCTCAAATATACACGGAGAATACAGCTAGAAAAGAGGGCAACAGGAAATCAAAGCGATTATCTAGCGAGTACGAAATTCTCAGAATCAAAAGTCTCAATGGTGTGCTCGGCCAGGGAAATTGCTTCAGTAACCGGGCAGTACTGTTCCAAAGTTTCCAGCAGATTATCCCGAAGAAAGTATTCCAAAATGGTTCCTTTTTATCTCTACGAAGCTTTCTCATGAACCATTTCTATAAAGGTTGTGTTAGAAATTGGTGGAAATCCGGTTCGGGCATGACAATGTGCCAACACCTATCTGCATTTCTGCAACTTCGGAGGACGTGGTTCAGATCTTCAGGCTCATCCCGGCATATCTTGAAATGTTCTGCATTTGTCATGTCGCCTGACTTGCTCACAATTTGTTAATAAGATTATTTTTATTAATTGATAGTGGTGTTTTCCAAACACCCTTTGGTGTTGTTGTTTCAGTTAATGCATACAAGCAGAAATCTTCATGCTATGATACCCGAATAAATTCACTTCTTTTTGCCAGGTGACAATCTAATTTATAAATTCTAACTCTTGTCTCTTTCAATACACACATTATACATTTTTAAGCTAGTTAATTAAATTTAATCCCTTTCAATGATCGTTTGAGTAAAGCATTAAACAAATGTATGTTAACTCTTGTATTAATCAAGTTATAAATAAGAAATGCAATTAATATAATAATTTTAAATCTTCCTCTTTTGCTTGAAATGGAGGGGGGAAAAAAAGGGTTGTCAGAGGAGAGTTCACAAAATAACAAGATATTGAGATAATCCGGTATTTCAAAAAGCTTACAACTTACATGAACAACAAAAGGGCGAAAGAATTCCTCTTCTATCCCATGTGAAAACCCAATAAGGGAACACTGGAGCTACATCCCAGTAAAAAAATTGAATTGAAACGGTATAGATGCACCTTACAAAGTACAAACAAATTATTTCCTGAGAATAATAAAATTGTGGTCACTCATGATCAGAATCCAGTTTGGGAACAATGGCAGATGAGAGCATCAAATGCGAAATACGAACAGCACCGATAAGCCGCTCCGGCAATTCATCTGTGGTATTTGCCTGTTAATAGGAACAAATATGTCACCCCATTTCACAGCAAGGTCATTAGAGGATACAAATGATCTGTCAATATGGCTAACCCCGTTAAGTCGGTTCTTAAACCCAAAGCCGCAAGCTTCAGTCAGACCCAACATTAAGGGCAAACTGTAACTAAGAATGGCAAAAGACTAGTTATCAGAATCCCTTCCCTAATCCCCTTCCCTCTTCAAACCACGTCTCATAATGCATTTCTACCCAGTGGACACCATATTGATGAGAAGCCTGTCTGAATCAGAATTGATGCATCTAGAGTTTTTCTTTATCCAGAGTTTATCATCATCTAGAGTTTTAGTTGATTATTCTTTAAGAGTCTTGAGTTATCCTATATCATTATCTTCAGTTTATAACCTGGATGTTTTCGGGATGCCCCTAATAACCAACGAATGGCAAGTGCTTTTCCTTGTGTGGATCCTTATTTCAGCGGGAACTTAATCTCTATCTACATACTATTATAAACATCAGAGAGGGGGGCTATCATAGTGTGTGATTTCCAACAGTGTGCAAGTCAATCATCATATTTCTATTCTTAAATTTTACATAATATCAGAGAAAATTGCAGTTTTCAATATCTTGTAGTTTTCAGGGCTGGAGTTGTCATACGAAATATGGCAAATCCTACATTAGATCCACACAAGTATATTTAACTAAAATCGGGTATTTGGCAAAAGAGAATAAGCATCAAAGTGAAGTCAACGATAACTGTAACAAAAGATCAATCAAGTCCAGCCGCACCGATTTAATCACCATTACTAAATTAGATATGCAGTACTAAAATTCACCACTCCAAAAAGTGTACCTGTACAAGAAATGCCATGTCGACCACCAATGTTGTAATTACACCAACTACAAGCCCCAAAACTCCATTAGCAACAGTAGAAGATCCAATATCAACATCAATCTACAAATAGAAGCCATTGATTAACCAATAATTAAACAAGAAAACTGTTCACCATTGATAAGGTAACTTCCTGCAACGTAAATGTGTGTTTGTGTGTGTGCGCGTGAGAGAGAGAGAGAGAGATTTGAAAGATATTTTACTTCTAAATACTTGGGGCCACGAATATAGTTGATATCAACTGCCTTTCCAAGTAAACAAGGTGTACTCCCAACACTTTGTCGCACAATCCATGAGCCCTACATTTTGTTAAAAGACAGATTGACGGAATATGAGCATTAGCCCATCAAGAGTCTTGTAAAAGGGTTAAACTGACAGAACAAAGGTGAACAAAAACCTGGTTACATAGCAAACTTAAAGAATTTCTTCTCATAACAAACTCAACTCAGTTCTAACCACTGGAAAGGGCATCATACTACTTTGGTCGTTTAGAATTTAGCTCTGGAGTTTAGGCAAAATCAACTCTATTACATAAATCATGCACGCAAGAAATAGCTCCCTAGAATCAATCTGAATGTTGCAAGAGCCAGATGTTCATCTTATTTGCTATTTCTTCACACTCCCAATCCTGCGTACCAAACACGGCCTTAGTGTCACCCAGTACTACGTAGCAAAGGTATGGTGGGCCTATGCTTTATACATACCTCAAGCCCAACAGCCTTTCGAGGAGTGTATTAAAAATTATAGCAAAAACTACTCGCAGGTATTTGCTTAATAGATTAAATTTTTGACACACAAATATGATGTGCTCGTATAAAGACATAAGAGCATCGCTGGATGCAGAAGCGATAGCTACTCAAAGAACCGACAATTTACAATGCGCTAGTAGTTAGACCACCAACACCACCATGACAGATAAAAAAGGTCCAATACACCAATGACAAAAGTCAACAAGCACCTTTGGGACTGATGGTATGAGTTTGAATCTGCTATTTCGGAATTCATCATCACCATCAACAAAACGTTGCAAGAGGGATCCAGAAACTAACTCTTTTGTCACAAAATAGAATACCATACTGTAGTGTGTTGACCCAGGCACCTGCAAATCAAACAGCATGCATTCAAACACTTTCAGAACTAAATCCTTTGTTGAAAGTTAACTCTCACCTGAAGATTGATGACGATAGAGAAAAGTCCCTTTTCTGATGCAACCTACATAAACACCAAAAGAACAAGACTTTTTAAAAGAATCCTAAAAGGTAACGAAAATCAATAATCAATAACTAATTATCATATAATACAATGTAAAACAATTATAAAATGCAAATACATTTACCATGCACTGCTAGTTCTCATGCACAAAAGTGTAAAATGATTATTCTACTGATATTCTTTAAAAAGCATGATTATACAAATTTCAAAAGCAATACGTAAGGTTCAGGTACAAATATACACATACCCAAAAAAAAAAATTCAATTTAATAAATAATGTTCATTATTGGCTTCCCTTTTTACAGTTCAAGTAAAGAGTCTTCAAATAAAAAGTAAAACGAGTATGCTTTCTGATTTCTGGTTTGGGAAGTTGCAGCAAAGCAGAAGACTGAGGTTAATAAAGACTGAATCACTTATTCATGATCTGTTACAACAGCAAAATTCCTCCCAGTTGGGTCCCCATCCACTATCATAATTTAAGAAAATAGATCTAGATTGTTTAGCAGCAAACCTACCTAAAGATTTGGTTGTTGATATAACACAATGATAGCCGATCCTACTTAATGGGATAAGGCTTGTTGTTGTCGTTTAAAGGCAAACCAATGAAACTCATAATCCAACTATTGTCTTTTACTTAACTATTATTAATTTCCATACACATAATCATGCACCATATTGTTTTGTATTTAATAGCCTCTAGAGCCACAGAACCAAAGATAAGAATTAGCAATGCCAAATGCATGCTAAAAACTTAACATAGGAGGACATTGCAATACTTTTGACATATGTTACCCATTGTGTGAATAAGAACAGTTGTCAGTCTCCTTTTCTCACTTGAAAACAAGACCAAAAGGCAACATTTCTGAAGGAATGGAAGAACAGGAGACAATGACTAGGAGGGTTTTGGAAAAGATGGCAGATTTGAAGATATGGGTTCGTGAAGAAACGGGCCTTCTATGATACTTTTTGTAGCCACATTTATGGGCATGCCAGTAATTTCTTCTACCCATTAAGTTTGTCAAACAAAACTTATTGAGAGGAGAGTTTCGTCTGTGAAACTCCAAACCAGAGAGAGACCTCTTTAAGGCTCAGAAATATGATTGTCATTTACCCTTTATCAAACAGATGCAATGGGTCATTCAACAGTTTGAATCTTCAATTCATACCCCCAAAAAAAAAATGTAAATGAGAAATGCTTTTCTAGTACTCACTTGGGCAGCACATCCCTGACGCCTAGCCACGTGGTCCATTCTTTTTGTGTCCTTGAACCAGTCAACGGCAACAAGATCCATAAGATGTTTCCCAGCAGGAATCTTTACAATTCAACGTGAAGGTACAAGAAAATGTCAACCAAGTGATAAATTTTGTTTCATGAATAGAATAATAAGAAAAATCGAATACCTTTGACTTGTCATGGAAAAAATGCTTGCTCCGTACTCTAAAATTGTTTCCATCAGAAATATTCCAGCAGTCACGGGCATTGTCACGATCATCACGCCGTAGGTTACCCGAGAACCATGACAAGTCGATTTTATCTTCCGGTTCTTCTTCCAAGGCTTTGGTTCAAGAAAAAATTATGATTAGATTTGCTTCTTCACATCACTAATGTTTATCATTACAAAATATCTGAAAAAACAAAACAAATGTATCATAAAATGCCACCTGTTTTCTTTACGTCATTCTCTAGCCCACTTGCATATGCCTGGAAAGAAAAAAAAATCAAGCTTTGAATTTAATAAGTAAACGCCATAGTTAAATAGATGGGATTACAAATACAACCTCTTGTTCGGATTCTGCTATTTGAAAATCTTCATCTTCATCAGAGTATTCATCCATGATGACAGAATTTCTATTTGCAGCATTCATTAGATCCAGGGAGGATGCAGGATGAGCAGAAGAATCATGTGATTTCTGACCCTTCTTTAAATTATTGGATGCCGAAGACATATTAACCATAACAGGAATTCGAGGAGGAGCATTTCTTTCATCTGTCTGGGCAAACCATTCACGCAAACCTGTCCAAAATAATATTGGCACACACAAAAGGTCAGCAGAGCAAATTTACAGGGCCATAAAGAGATCATGTAATTGAAAAATGCATAAAAACAAAAATACAACTAGTTAAAGGCAGTCCTTCTTCCCTTTATCCACTAGTCTTAGCATCTGCACAACTCATGAAATCCCGAAAGAATAAAAGAGACAACCAAATTCAAAGTAAATGCTAACATCACCATAAAAATACAGACAGAAATAATCAGTATCAATACAGTGTTCTTGCTCAAGAGCATAATTAAAAATTCTCAAATAGCTTCAGCTATTACTTTTGAGACCAAAGAATACTAGGCACTATTCAGATCCATAAATGCAACACAAAAGTAATCCATGACTTCCTCAAAAACTGGAACCAATAGTTACTCTAAACCAAGCAAAATTTCGTATAACTTATAGTGGTAATTCTTATCTACCATCCATTATTCATTTACTCCATCCCCTGACCTTACCACAAAAGGAACAGGATAGTAGTGATGTTCTGTAAGATTTCAAACCGCACAAGTAGCAAAAGAAACTCACCAGCAACACTATTCAACATTTGAAGGAGACAATGCTGCTGAAATGCAGATAGGTAACCCACACCCCATCCCTTCAAGTCAATCTGCATAAGATGCTGAACTTGTGTCCTTGGCCTCCCATTTCGAGGTTTTAATGGGGAAATATTGAATCCACCGCCTGGGCAAACAATTTATAAAGTTAAAAAATCCAACATAGCATACTATGATTTTACATGAGATGGATTCAATTGAAACAAGGATTAAGTTAAAGAAAAGAATAAGAATATAACCTTTTGATCTATTAAGGGCATACTGGTAATAATCATATGTAAAAGGAAAATAAATCTTCTTTCAAAAAGAGTTTCAAACTGACAGAAGTAGTTATGAAAAGTGCAAATAATAGGTATTGCACCCGGTTCAACTTAACCTCTTCGGTAATTGAAACATTTCACACACTTGCACGGAGTAAAAAATGGAAATTTGATATTGGACAAACAATGATATCATTATCCAAAACAGGGAGGGAGACAAGGGTATTTGTCATTCCAAGATCTGAACCAATTCCACTATGTTGAACTTTTAACAAGATTGGTCTTACTCTCAATATGGGCCCGAACCCAGCCTGGCTGTGGACCACAATTCTCATGCTCTCGGGATCGAAACAAAACAACTACAAAAAGAATTCTCAATGTCACCTCCTCAAGCAAGAAACAGATGGTGGATATTTTAGCCTGAAGCAAGTACCATACCGTAACTTCCATCGTCATTTCGGCGCCAATAGCGTACATAGCAAAGATCACGCGGCCAGACAAACCTGCAATGGCATGCATTAGGAACAACTTGTATGAGATAGAGAGGAAAGTCACAAGTGTTGAGAAACCTATATATCATTGAAGGTTAAGTATGACAAATTAAGTGGGACTTCCAAAGGTTTAAGAATCATCTTCTTAGTTTATTATCAGTAGAGTTGTCATCTTCATGGGGGATTATATATTTTGTTCTGAGTTATCCAGTTTCGATACAAGAGGGAAGGAAGCTACCACAACGTATATGTTAGTTAACACCACAAGTATGCAAGCTTTCCCATTTTTCATACATCTTTAATCCTAAATGTCAACTATAAAAACAAAGCACTTAAGGTTGATACAGCAAATAACTTTAGTTTGTTTACAATTCTAAAACATATTATCATATACAAGCATTGAAATTTTAATGGATATGGAGGTATAAATATAGGTTTAATTGTCCTGGGTAAAACAATGCACCAACAAAAGCCCTGCCACACTAAAATAGCATTGAAAGAAGAAGAAACAACAATAACAGCAATAACAAAACTTTATCCCACTAAATGAGGTCAACTACATGAATTGCACAAAGCTCTGTCCTCTATCAACAACCAAGTGAAATAACATTGAGATGGAGGAAAAATAAACTAATTAGATTGAGGAAACTTTACATTGGAAACCAGTCAAGCTGAAGTCTATGATAAAGTATTGCAGTATGCCCATCCACCTCCTCAACCAAACTACCAGAATGGAAAGTGCAATCCCACCTGCAGGCATTCAAACAATATGAGAATATCATAATTTTTCCAGAATTTTGGAGCATCACATGTCTGGCACTAAAGAAATCCTTTTCTCTCATCCAAAATTCTTCATCAGAACATAACGGCATGCTCAGCATCTACAGTGCCCAAGAGCAATTCTGCTGGCACTAGGTAAAGAGAAGGTTTTTTTTTTTTTTTTTAATGGCTTGAGCAATTCTAGGCCGTCTAAAAGAGAGAGTTTAGGGGCACAAATCACAGATATAAAGGTATCCAAACATGAATTAATAAGTTATAGGTGTCCAGTTAAAGACCAAAAATGAACATGCAAGTAAACAGTTAACCATGTATATATTATATACTAAAATCCTAGCTACATACAAATCAAATAATTCAATCAATAACTCCAACCCAAATTAATTGCGTTTTATATACCTGAATTTAATAAGAATATAGTATCAAAATGTAGGCTGTATGCGTGTATCTGAGTTATATTTCTAAAAAACAAAGCAAATTTCATTAGCAAGAGCCAGCTCAACATACTTGCAAACATAATAGGCTTAAGATGCTCTATAATCTGAATGCTAGAATTTGAAGTTCTAAAATGAACTGATACCAGAAAACAATCTCAGAAACAATTTAGTGTCCAGGATCCAAACATTTTGTCAAAATCATTTTCCAAAAACCTCCAGGTTATCATAAACCAATGGCACCAAGCAAAAACATAATTGCAAGGTGAAACACCTACTCAAACCGCGTTCCATCCATGCTCATCACCAGCCCAAAAATTTCTTCACATGTTGCTTCCACGACACCTACAGCCTTCATTGCCCTACTACACGTCCTTGGCTGCATGAAGAATAAACTGTTATTGGTGTTTCACTACAAATCCTTTGAAATCGTAAAACCACACCATTCAAACAAAGCAACACAGAAAAATTCCTTACAAGGTAATCAACTTCAAGAAGCTCTTCAAAAATGCGAAGTCCTGCAAATTTCGGGAAGGAAACCAATTATCAGTATCTACCATCGCAAGTAGCCAATCAATGAAGAACCAAATTAAGTCAGTGGGTTAATTCAGTCCTGACACCCATGCAATAAATTACTTTAGAATAAAAACAACTATAACATACCATTTTGGCATTGAAGAAGACGCCAATGCTTTCTTGAAAACGCTTGGTTATTATTCTGATTTGACAAATCTGAGTCTACTTCTCTTGTCCAGTCCAAAACTGATTCTGGGGGACCTGCAGCTCGAAAACAAAAAGTTTAAAAAGCAATTACATCAAAGTAATGGTCAGCCAAAAGCCAAAGAAATATAAAGTAACCATTTCCAATCGTTGTCCTCCTTAGCAAATTTGGATGAGTGTCCTCTTCATCTTCTGGAGCACTGAAGCTGAGGAGAGAAGAAAAAATAAACTGATCAGCACAAACACATAAGAATAAATACATGATTTTATTGGCGTCACACAGAATAACTTAAAGTGCAGCAACTGTTCCTGGCAATGCAATAAAAAATTTCATACAACAACAACAACAACCCTTATACCACTAGGTGGGGGCAATCAAAAATTCATAAAGATAATTAACTCATGTTTATATTTCAATGGATTATAGCAGTTGGATCTCCAAAGAATGTACTTATGGAATGAAACAATACAATCTGAAGGAAGATGGACATAACTAAATGATCACCATAGGGAGATAAACAACTAATGTAAAAGCTACCGAAAAACACATCTGAGAATTGCCCTCTTTAATATGAAAGCAGAGAAAGCAATGCCGAAAGTATTTACTGGCTTTCATGGTCAGAGGATGAAGCTGTTCTCCCATTATCCATCCCCGATTTGTACTCAAAAGAAATATATTTGTTACCATTTGAAGGCTGTGCACCCTGATGCTGCACAAATTGAGAGTTCAATAGCATCAATCAACACAATAGAAAAATACAACCTAACAAGATGAATGTACAAAATAACATACAAACTTTTCAGCAATGTATAAAGCAAATTGCCTTCTTTTTTTTTTTTTTAACTTTTCAACCAAATATATCAAAATGAAGTCTAATCAGAATTCAATAATACAGATAATGCTCATGCATACTTGAGTGATGCAAATGGATATAACATACCTGATCAATTACATATTCAATTTTTTCCTTCCACATTAGGGCCTCTTGTATGTTAAATGCTGCCATCTGCAACAGGAACCCAACTAAAAATATGCACACAACACTAATCGCAATATATTTTCACACAAACTTAACAGTTTGAAATAAACCAAGTTAGACAACCTTACTGGCACAACAATTTAATTTATAAGTGTGTCGTGTGTGCGTGCTGGTAAAATGTATGAGAAATAAATCCACTCACTGTAATTCGATGATGTTTCTCTTTCTTGTTGTAAACAGACAAAACGTAAACCATCTGCAAAGAAGAAAATAAATAAAGGTAAAAGGATATATAGGAAAACAATGTGGTAAATATACAACTCAAAGTCTCAAATTAGCTTCAATGGAGGTAAGTGCAAAGAGGATTAACAAAATACAGAACATGCCACTCAAAAAAGAGCATGCGGTCAAATTGTTGTTCAACTTTAGAATAACCAAAAAAAAAATTATTCTTAAAATTCATTTTCCTTCTCTTAAACATAGGGGGTTACCTAACCACTGGAAATTGCATACATCAACAGGTGAAATTGAATACCTCATAACAGCAGAAGGCTGCTGATGTAAGTTATCAGTAAGAGTTTGCATAAAGCATATACAAGATTAATAATAAAAAAATTCGCTGCAGCTGGCTCCAGTAGAACTAAGCCACAGCATGCAAATAAAAAATGCAGAAGTGCAGTAGTTCCTTTGGTAAAAAAGAAAGTGCAGTGATTCCACTCATGCAGCTAAAATACTCAACTATTAATGCTTATTTAGATCAAAATCGAAACAATTATATTCTACTACAAAAAGTTCAGAGTATCAACCATGTCAAAGAAACTTCTCATCTCAGAACTTTATAATGTTGAAAGCCTTTTTTCTTCATTTTTGCCAAACTGCATGACATTTGACGTTTGATGGATTGTCCTTTCATGCAGTATGCCACACGTATCAGTTTATAACATTGCCTCTCATTCCTATAATGCACTAGTTGCCATTGAGAATATTCCTACTCCCAAATGGCATTAAACTCTACACATCACTGTAGCAGAAATGTTGCAAACCAACAATTACTTTTGGAATTACATTGGCATATAATAAGTGTAGTTGAATATTAATGGATCGTTTCAGGAGCAGTGGATTCCTGCAGTATCCATTGCTATATTAAAAATACTCAATCAGAAAGCAATAATTAAAAAGATTTCAGAACTCACATGTCCATGATGGGTCTTCAAGCCTCTATCCTCCACTCTACAGTTGCCATCAATCAACATTGTTTTAATAGGAACCTAGTAAACATAAACAAACAGTTCAGTTTGATATCATAGTTAACACCCCCCCCCCAAAAAAAAAAACACAAAAAGGGGGCGGCTCATCCCAGAAGAAGGAAAGAGAAGAAATTAGAAAGCATAATTTGTAATAGCCGAAATATATGCTTACATCTACACTGTTATCTAAAAAAAATGTACTTGTCTTGCCTATCTTTTATACAGAAGGTTTTTAAAATACCGATAAAAAATCCACTCCAAGAAGTTGTCATTCTCCCTTTCTGAGAATAACCGAAAGAAAAACAGAGCTCCGGCAACTTTATCATAAGTCTGAAATTGGTAAAGGGGCGGAGAACATCGTTTTCTACCTGAACAAAAGTAGACAGAATATCAGGAAAATGGTCAAATTACCTGATTATCTTGTGGCTTCCTTTTGTAATAAGCTAGCAGCCGCGGCTCGAGCACGAAATATCTCATGTGAATAAACGATCGGCCAATTTTTCGCCGGCCATACCTCACCATCCAGCCTTCATAGACAACCTTCGACGACATCGTGATACTCAAAACGAAGTTGAAGGCCAAGCTCCCACTCTTTCGACTCCAAAATAATATACAAACCAACGAACTCCAAAAAAATATCTATTATACAAAACAATAATTTCCAACTGACTGATTCCAACAAAATATCTCGTGAAACTGAATGATTGCTATGCTTCCCCGAGATCGACGTCAGCTAAGTGACCTGATCATCAGTCATCGCGAACACAACGTCGTAGGATCATGAAGTCACCAGCAATCTCAAGCACCATGTCCGAGAAAATTCTCAGAATTCCGCATTGTCAATAATTCTTGGAGAATTCTGGAGCTCACGATCGAAGTTGGCCTCGCTTCTCGAAGTAGAAGACCAGAACGGGATCGGGGAGGGACCGATTTGAGGGGAGAGAAAGAGAGAGAGAGAGAGAGAGAGACGACGACGTAAGGGAAGGCGAAGACAAAAAGAGTGATCGAACGACTAGGAAATTCGGAGAAGGATGGTTGAGAGGGAGAAACACAAGTGGGAGATCCGACGTCAGGTGAAAAGGTTGTGTCCTTCGAAAGAGGCTTACACGTTCAGGCCAAAAAAAAATTCAAAAAAGGAAGAGGTTTACACGTGGAGATTTGTGATTCATTCGGTAGGTTGGGAGGGAAGAGGGATCAGCATTCAGCCCCCCGAATAAAGTCTTGTCTCCATTCATAAATGTTCGAAAATGTTCCAAAAATGTGGTATCTATTTTGGAAAATTTCTTGGCCAATGCTCTTCCGATGCTATTTAGAAAGTAGGAAGAAAATTTTTTTTCTTAAATCTGTCAAGTGATTTTATTAAATTTTTAATATGAATATATTATTTTATCTTTTATTTAGTATAATGTAAATAATTATTTATTTGAAAAGTATATATATTAAATAGGATAAAACTGAAAAGTTATTCTATTTTAATAAAATATTAATGCAGTTTAAAAAAAATTTTTAGTCTATGTGAAATATACTTAAAATACTTTATAAACAAAATCAAAGGGGCATTCAGAAATGCATATCTGATGATTTTTTTTTTTTTTAATTAAGCGCACACATCTTTCTAATGGCAACTTGTTCCAAAATCCAAATACTATCAACATTAAATGAGGATATTTTTTCTAACAAAAATTTAAACATTAATTCACAGAATAGTTGTAACCCAATCCTAGTTGATGCATATTTGATCATATTAAATTTTGAGTTGGACGTAAAAAAAAGTTTGCATTGTATTTTTATTATAAGAAAGTTGTGCAAATTTATAATTGTAATAATAAATAAAATTTTTATGATATCTTTTTTTTTTTTGCAATTCTAATTATTAACTAGTGTTTTTATATAAATAGTTCTAAAAAGTTGCATTATTTGTAAATTATAAATAATATAAAAGTTCACAATCCACCCCCTAATGCCCCACCCTACTCAGGCTCTAATACCAAATATAACGTCTTTAGGTTTCGAAGTTCCCTAGTTACAGCCGTAGCCACTCAAAAAACACGTTGACAAGAGAGAGGTATCCACAACTTTATTAGGCATGCTTTGTTCCCCTCTCCAGTTGATGTAGGACTTTACAATCCACCCCTCTACAGTGTAGCTGTAGTCATCCTAGGTGTCGCTCGTAAATATTGTCTGCTTTGGTGCAGCAGTAGCCACCGCATGGTTTTGTTTCCCTGGATGTAGATGTAACCACCCAGAAAATGTGTCCATAAGGGAGAAGTATTCGCACTCTTATAAGGCATACTTTGTTTCCCTCTACAATCGATGTGGGACATCACAATCTTGTTGTGTTGAGTTGATTAAAATGGTGGTGATTGATCATTTATGATAGCCACAAGTTGATAAAATTGTTGATATATAATGGCCGATTCCCAAATGAGTCCTTTATAAACAATTCGTATTTTATGAATACTTATTTGCTTCTATTTAGAAATTAGAGAGAATATTTTGTTAATATAAGTCAGCTTGTTAAATTTATTATTTGTATGAATAATTTTATTCTCAACGTATTGTTTGTTTAATTTTATTTTATTGAAATGCATATATATATATATATTAATATGGGTAAAATTAGAAAGTTGTTAATTTTGTCCAACAGGAAGTTGTTAAATTTTTTTTGTTGAACAAAAGTTGTTAAATTTTAAAACAAAATTAATAATATTTAACAAAAAAAAATTATTTCGGTTCTGAAGCAAAAGTGTCTATTAATTAGGAGAAGAGAAATAAATCTAGAGCTCCTATGAACACAGAAAAAGAGAGAGATCTAGAGGAATTGTGGTGCCCGAGCCCATAAATGGTTGGTGCTTGGTTGCTTGCTACCTTCAGTGTGGAATCGTTGACCACTTTGTTGACTCAAATTTAAACCACTTAAATGAAAGGGGAAATTAGCATTTATGATTGAGAAATTTGGATGTGTTATTGCATTTGCATGAGTCTCCACCAGGCCGCATATTTGGAATGAGGCGTTTTTCCAACTTGGAATGAGTATGACACGTATGCCCTTGTCATTATGTAGCTGATAATCAATATGAAAACTAATTGAATAATTTGAGTACATTAAGACAATGAGTCAAATTAGTAATAAGTGTTGTCTTTATTAAAATATCTCCGTTAATTAAGTGTATTAGTTAAAACTACCAATTGATGAAATATTCAATATACACAACTACTATAACAACTATTATAAAAAAAGGGTTAATATAAGAGATAAAATAAATTGGGGTTTTATATCTAAAATCAAATTGAAAGCCAAACTAGCTCTTATATTAAGTAGTATTACCTCTGGTTTTTAATATAAAAGCTAGTTGACTAATTTGAGTAAGATAAGAAAATTAGTTAAGTTAATTATTTGTAATAAATATATATATCGTCTTATCTAAAATACACTTACTAACCAAGTGTCATCTTTTGAGACACTTAATATGTGTAATTACTATAAGGACTATCTTGAGAAAAATAAATAAATATGAAAGACAAAGTGAATTAGTGTCTTATATTTATAATTAAATTAAAAGTCATTTATAATTAAATTAAAAGTCAAACTAACTCTTATATTAAAGACCAGAGTTAGTATATAATAAGGCAGGGGCATTATGGTAATTGGTGGGGGTGATTCGGGGTGTAATTGTGGCCAGCTAAGCTGGTCCTGGAGCCTTCAAAGTTCAAACTAGGCAGGTGAAATTGAATACAGACTATTAATGTTCATACTAATTTAAAAATTGATAACAGTAGCAGCATGTGATGTCTAATTTGACCAATTTTGCTTATCTTCAACTCTAAAGAATTCGGATTCATGCAATGAGTGATTGGTGCATAGCAATAAATAGTCGTGATTAGTTTAAAAATATAAGAAAATCAAAAGTTTATTGAAGTTGTTTTCTTTTTCTTTTTTATTGGCCAATTATTAGAAAATAGTTTTCTTAGGCATCACAACTTGCTAAAATCTTGGACAACATAATAATGCATAAAATTCAAAAAGTCCAAAACTGCCTGGAAAAAAAATCCAAAACTGCATCCTATAAAATATAGATTAACTTTGTTTCTCATACTTATTATTTTTTAAATATATATTACATTACAATTTTTTTTGCCAAATTATATTACAAATTTTTAATTCTTTGAAAAATGCCCATATAAAATGTTTGTCATAACAAATGATACTCCCTCTTGCTCAAAATATAAACATTAAATAACTAATTAACACAATTCAAAAAATTAGTTAAAATTAGTTAAAAATAATAAATAACTTATATCTCTAAAACACCATATTTATGGAGAAAGTAAATGGAGGGAGAACGAGTGGAAAAAGATATGAGAGAGAATGAGTAAAAAAAACAGAGAGAGAAACATGTAATTAATTAGGAGTAAAGATGATAAAAATAGACTTACTCTGTCTTTTTTTATAAGCAACATTGAACTGTATTATGTAGATCAAAAAATTAGTTAAAATTGGTTAAAGATAATAAATGTGTAAAAATTGAAAAAAAAAATTCTCCAAAATACCCTTATGAGGGGAGAATTATGTAAGAGTTAGTCTAATTGATATGTAATCACTTCATAACTTACAAAATCGTGAATTTAAATCTTACTATCAATATAAAAATCTTATTAGAAAATAATATAAGTATCTCTATAAATATTTTCTAAACCAGAAGGCACGTTCTGATCTTGTTGGGTTTTCAAAACCTAACCCGTCCAAATTTTGACGTGATGCGTCGTATACAGTAGTCATTACACTTCCCGGCTAGTGGTGGCTTAATGCTTGGTATTAATGAATGGTCAAAGAAGATGCAAAAGCTTGTGAGTTGTGACGGACCATCTTGAGACTCAAGACAGCATACCCAATTAAAAGGCTTTATAAAGCTTGAAATCAGAGAGTGAGCCAATGCTTGAGCTTGGTCGGCTTTTGATATACCACTTAGTTTCTTCTTATAATTTCTGGCAAAAAATATATTAAATTGATATATGTTATGAATATAATAATATCTTTGTGGATGTCCATATATCTCCCTTTATTTCCTATATCTCATATAATCTCTAATATCTTCCATTATCTCTATATCCCACAATTATCTCATATTATCATGTAATCTGTAGATTCTATCAAAGATGTAAAGCTGTGCCTATAAATAGAGGCCATGTATAATGTATTGGGTACTCTTGAATGGAATGAGAAAGACTCTCTCTTATCAATCCTCTCTTCCTTTGTATGATTCTTCTCTATTTCTTCTTTATTCATAACACGTTATCAGTACGAAGCTCTAACCAAGGTGCGTATGATATACTTTTCTACCCCATCATAATTTTAGAGCATCATCTTTATTATTTTTCTAGAGTATCATTTGCTCTGTTCAAATAAAAATACCTCGAGCATCATATATATGGTGTTTCAGAGTATTCGTATTCCTATTCAATTTATCTAGGATAATCTAAGCCATTATATGGAATTAAAAGGATTATCTACCGTTGTTTTAAACATCGGGTTCCATGGCTATGATTGGAGATTTTTTTTCCCCTTATATTTCTTATTGACTTGACGTCACTATTTCGATGGAACCCGAAGTTCCAATAGATACTAGCAGTATCCATAAAGATTTACCATCTAAAGTTAAATGGCCAGAAGCCATATAATTTTAAGTTTTCATCTTATTGTAACTAAATGGCCAGAAGCCATATAACTCAGATTTTTCATTCTTTTCAAATTAAATGGCTAAAAGCCATATGATTTTGATTTTCTATATTATAGCTTGAAGCTATACAACTTTGAGTTTTTATCTTATGACTAGAAGCCATATATATATATGGGGTTAATTCTCTATTTTTTTTAAATGACTTGAAGTCATATGTATTTGAAATTTTATCTTATTAAATAACTAGAAGTATTTACGTATAAATTTTCTATCTTATGGCTAGAAGTCATAT